AAAAAACAGAAAAAAAATAAGAAACGGACCAGAAAAAATAAGAAACGGAGCACAGATAGCTTCAGAAAGAGAAAGGAAGCGGTATGGCAATGAAGCTGCCCAGCTGGTTCGGAAGTGTGTAGTTTACAGCTTCTTTTGCAGCAATGATTGCCGTAGTACTGCTTCAATAAAAGCAACGATTCACACAAAGGTTTATAATAAAGAAGTCGAGCCTAGTTCAATATAATTTTCTTCTCAAATTTCAGAAATATTCACATGGGTAATATTTTAAGGCAATGGCAGACTGGTGGAGCCAATTAGCACGTTTTGGTATGAGATCGGATATGCAGTTCACAGAGGCAATTCGTTACCGAGAAACAAGACAGATAACAAAATGGACCAAGGTAAGCTCAAGAAAAATTGCGGAAAAAGGGGGTAAATGATGACATAAGCAGCTATGAAGAACCTTAGGATGCGCCATGCATTCGATTCAGGCTAAAAGTTGCCATAATAGTGCAATAATTATTTGACCTATCACACCTCTTTTGTTTTCCAAAAGCAGATGCAGGATCGACATGTACCTCGATTAGCTTGAAGGATTAGATCTAGGATCATACCTGAGTATTATGGCACCCCTCCTCCTCCTACCCTTACCCAATTTGGGCATAGTACAGTAACACCTGCATTGTTCCCAGAAGAAGCCTTTGACTTCCCATGAAACTTCGAAACTGAGACCTGGAAAAGTGATAGGTAATATTTCTCTGTGAAAGTTCCGTCCAAGCTTGCCCACCGGTAGATAGCCCTCGTAAGCACCCCTGAGCTAGCCCATATGAGACACTTGGGACACTTTGAGACCCATTTGAGACGCTTTCTTCATACATTTTCTAATTATTCGGGTAGATTTGAAAAATATATGACGTATGCTTCTAGAAAACTACTAAGGCTAATTCTCAGGCCGGAAAGCGCTGCTGTTACGAAGCGGAAAACCCAAGTTTTCTAGGAAAGCGCATCTCCACCTTCAGAAGGTCATAACATTTTTCAAATGCGACTTTTTGAAGAGTTATAAAAAGATTCAGAAAGTTTTAAGTATTTTTCTATTCTAAATGTGATGAAAGTTTTTCTTTGCTCTGGTCAAACTTTTTTCCAGAATTTCCCCTTTTGTTCGCCCTTTTTTTGTGCACTGCCACGTTTTTGGGCGCCCTTTGAGTGACCATAACTTGTGCTTTCTTTTTCTTTTATATGGCACTCTTCACTGGGTTAGCGCGCTCTAAAAAACATCTGATCGTCCTCGAAGTCCATGTGTTCAAAAAGCGATCACGCTTTCTCACTCTTTTTCGAGGTGTCGGGGGGGGGTTCTGCCGGTCAGTGCGCGAAAAATTTCGGTTGTGTTCCGTGTAGACCATAACTTTTGCTTCTTTTCTCGATTTTCTATGACAAGTTCGGGTATGTAACACAGTACTAGAGGGATTTCCAATGGCGAGTTGACCTGTTGACCTTGCTGAGGCTCTCCAAGAGTATCTTATAGTTATTTGATTTGAGGCGTTTCCTGATAACAATGGTGCGAATTCAGATGGCATGGTGGAACAACCAACTTCTAGGATGTGGAATGAAGCACTGTGGAAAATATTATTTAGTTGTCTGCATGTATCGGCCAGGGTAAGTTTTACCAGTATTTTGTCCTAAATAGGAAGAATATTCAATTTTTTAGAGGTAATGATGTTGGTCGCAATGTCTACCATATTGGAGCCGTGTGTTCTGACTGCCCAGAAACATGTGTTGATGGCCTCTGCAACTAGCGGGCCTCTAGCTTCAGTATGACAAGCATTTGATATTCTCATAATACAAATCATTCCAAGTGACTTAATTGCTCCTTTGTGTTGATATTGCTGTCTTAAGATTGATTTGTTGCGTTTTATTTTTTTATTTATATTCATATTTATATTTATATTTTTTAGAAAGTGGAAGAGATATTGAATTGTGAGATAGTGTGAGGGACAGGCTGAGGGAATACTTCAGCCCTGGCCTATTGCATATAAATGTAAAATAAATAATGAATGTATGTGAAACGGGGCTACTATTTGAGCTAGCAGCAATGAACACGAGATGTGCTTCAGGCGGGGGTACCAAGAGGAAGAACCGGCAGCGGGTGTCTCCCAAGAGGACCATCGCTGGCGAAGGCAGGAAGACGACAGCGCGGCAAAGGGACGAGTCGAGCGGAGTGCTGGTGCGACATGAAAGTAGTATGGTGCACGCTGTTGAATGGCACAACCCAGCTGCTTGTTGTAAACTCTTCTCTTCGGTCAGAAGTATAGAACCCTAGGGGACAATCACAAATGTGGCGTTCACGTGCACGGAATTCGACCGACAAGAACGCTTTGGGCTTGCAAAGTAAGCTGCTCGAGCTGCAGCGAACGAGCTCTCTTATCAGGCCGTTGTCTGGTGCTCTCTCATCTGATGCGCTCTCTCGCCCCATACTCTCCTCTTCGCGCTTAGTCTCTCGTTCCTTTAGCACAGCCAATTAGGAAGGTGAGTGAGCCCTCAACCTGAGCGTTTTCGACGGATTCTTTTCCTTTTTTCTTCACTGCCGGCCCACTTGGCACCGATACATTCACATTCGTGTGCAAGAGCCACACCAGTGCGATCCTGGGGCATGCCTTTAAACAAACGCCCCCC